ATATTCCGCTTCACATCCGATTTCCACAGCCTCTTTTACGCCTTTGTAGCTTTTGGTTATTTGAAAAAAATTTGTGTTGACCCAACTGTGGGAGACTCGATGACCTCGTTGGGATTCGTACCCACGACAATAGGAGGAAGGTTTGGGTATATCCAGCTATCTTATCATGTAAGCCACGAGGCCCCATTGGCTTCTCTTTTCGAACGGACAAAGAGTGCCCTTCCGCCACAATTTCCGCCGGCCTAAGGTCATATTGTAGTTTAGAGAACTTTTGTCAATGTCTACCGCTGCGGCCAGCACGCAACCAGGCTCCGTCTCCGTTGAGTTCTTGGAGTTCAGCGCAGGGAACCTTTCCTTAGCCAAAACGTCCAATGCAACCGCTGTTAAGCGAGCCATGGGTGAAATGGCGTATTTCGAACGATAGGAGGCCGGTGTTTCACGTTGCGGTTGGACTTTGGGGGCGCCAATGGAGTCAGAAAGGACAACCCCTTGCCCAACAACAGGGATTTCCGCCTTCGAAATTTAATTGGTCGATTTGCGACCTGATAAATAATTGTTTGCTCGCCATCCCTATCATCAGTTAACGCGTCTGATTTTACCTGAAGCACCAAGGAAGGCGGCGTGCGAGCAGATCAGTGCTACTAGCCCAGGTTTCCATAATGACACATAAGGCTGTTCCTCCAACCCTAAATAGAAAGCGGTAATCTGTTATGTGTGTTGGCTTTCTGATGCCAGTCGTCACTACTTTGTAGGGCTAACAAAGATTTTGGAGTCAGGGAAACGTGGAAAAAGGGGATACGGAATAAATGCAGCCGTCTTTCAAATTCAAAAATTATTCATGCAAAATTTGGCATGTAATTTTACTGCAAAACTGTAGCTAACTAGAACCTTAGCGTCAACCGTAGTCGTGCCTAAAATGGGTAAGCATGTAAGGAGAACTCGAACGTAACCGCAACCTTCGCTCAGACCGTAAAACTCCAATTCCAGACCTTGATCCCAATCCTAACCTTAATTCCAAAATTGGTCATAACCCAAACCTGGCAGCCTTGACCCTAAGAATGATCCAACACTTAATAATAATTTTAACTATAACCGTAACCCTATCCATATCCCCGAGCTCGATAGGGGCAAGTTTAACGTCAATAACGCTACTGTATGTGCAAATCCGCGTGTCGCATAACCCTTTCGCGAAAAATTGAGAGACAAACCATTATGCACCACAGCTACCTAAAAAAGATAAGAAGGTAGATTTTTCGACAACCACCCAGGGGACAGGGAAGTTGCACACCCTACCCTCCCCCCAAATCAAAATAATCTCACCATGATCAAAAATATTGGGAGAGGATTTAACTTTCCCACAAAAGGTAGGCAAATAAAACGTGGACGGATCATATATAAATATATTCACAGTTTTTCGAACTCTACTACGAAGTTGCAAGTAGTACATGTTTTGAAGTAAATGTCCTTGGCCTCATCATAGGTTTCAGAACCGAATGAATGTTCGTGCTGTTCCGATTTCTTCGAGAAGAGACTGCTCCGTGTCTGCATTCGCAAAGCTGACAAAAAAACAAGAATATGGTCTTAGGAGAAAAGGTGAGAGAGTGTAGACTTGTGGCTTTGCTGAATTAGTAATCATGCAACTCAGTAGCAGAGGAGGAAACACCAGGGCATATAGGTAACACATAAAAACTTTTCTCAGTAAAATTTCCCGAAATCGAAATAAAAGGGGAGGCATACCAAAGTAAAAGAGTCGGAAAAAAGTAACCTGCACAAAAGGGGTGTAAAAACGGAAGGTTTTGTCGACTACCTGAATTGGTATTTCCGGCTTGACTGGAAAACGTTTAAGTGCAGTCCTTGCTGCCGTCATTCATACTACAACATGGTACTATTTGTAATGCATGCGGCCATTGCATATTCCTCTTATTAGGCATTCTTACTGAAATTACAAATCACAGTCCGCTATAACAAAACAAGCACTAAGATAGAATAGCATTACCGACAAAGACAAGGGAGACTGGAATGGCCGATCGAGTAATTCTCTCGATGTTAGGACTAGCGTCTCTAAGGGCTGTGTCAACCCGGTAAATTCGCCCAGTTAAGTACTCGAATGGCTTCCTTGGCACACGATGATTGGCCATCCAAATGTTACGGCAAACCATAATCTGTGAAGTGCAAATCTGGACCACGCTGGTGGCGTTGTGGTGACGGCGAGCTCCTTTACAAAAACGAACCAATTCAAATAGGCGTAATGACAGTAGGTATGTGCCTAAACACTAATTCCTCCCAGGCGAAGATGGTCGTTTGGGATTGCACTTAGGGAGACATTCACCAGACTGTGGAGACATTTGTTTGCCATACTTCCAAGTAGGCTAGTGGCGAAAAGTCTGGGCACAGATTTCGCGGAATTTTGCGGTTGTTTGGCACAGCTGCGACTGACTAACTGAATCTGGCTAAAGTCAACGCGGAAACCCACAAAGAAGTTACGGCTCGTCCAAGTCAGTCCTCCTAATGGCTGAAACAAAAATGAATTGATAATGATGATGACGACGACGATGATGATGATGGTGGTGGTGGTGGTGGTGGTTTTGGTGGTGGTGGTGGTGGTGCCGCCTGTGGTGGTGGTGGTGCCTGTGGTGGTGGTGGTGCCTGTGGTGGTGCCTGTGGTGGTGGTGGTGCCTGTGCTTGTAGACAGTGAAATTTCCGGGTTCAGGAACAACTTTTTCTAAGTTGATCTGAACTTTCTGGCAATTGGACAAAGTAAGAACGACGTTAACAATCGGATTAACCGGGTGGACGTGGTTGTAGTTCGACTCCAGCGAAGCATATAAAGTCAACGTGAATATATTGTATAGACCAAGCTGCGAGTATAGAAGGCTGCCAGCGAAACAATCTGCCCGTTCAGACGTCCGTTGCATACAATTTTTTGATTAACGGTGGCTGCGCTCCACCCTACAAACTAGTCCCTCTGGTGGCGTCTCCAGCAGACGAACATATCCTTAAAGCACGCCCTGCCTATCCGCCGACTGAGATCTACTACGCCAAAATCGTCCAAAATTTAATATCACTCAGATGCCGGCCCGATTGGTGACAGCGTCGGAACGCCCAACTGAAGACGTAATTTGGAGTGGTGACCGACTAGATAGCGAGTATCTGGCAGAATGTGCCGATTGATTTATATTTTTAGAGAAGTCCGGTGCCGACCGTCTAAAGTGGAGGGCGATCGTTTGAGATGTAATGGACCTACAACAACTAAATCAGTGGTGACGAGTATTACTGCAAGTAGAAGAAGGCAAAAGATGCGTGAAGAATGTCCAGGTCTATGCAAAACATCGAGGCAACCAAGGTGAGACTAAGTTGTTTAACACACTGGCAGCACAGGTGATAGATAGAAGCCTGGGGATGCATGTTTCGTCAATCTTGTACAGCTGCATGACGCAGGTGTGAGGGCTTCGACTCACTAGTGGGCTCCCAGTGTTTTCCATGTGTTTTCCGGTATATAAACTGCAACTTCCAGACTGCCATGTCTAATTTCCAGGGAAAGTAATGCGCGGACTTGGAAAAAATCTATCAGAATACAGACTTCTAAGCCAGGTTCGAAAGTTTGTACATGAATACACGAGTACGAATTCATCAGCTACTGCGGACTAAACGTGTAATATTCATAAGCCCCCAGCAGGCAGTCAGTAGTATGCAAACACCATACCATACCGACAGCGCAGGCATTAGATAAAGACTCAAATACGCGTGTTTCGCCGATCTGGAAACTGGAGTTTGCATATTAGGAAACACATGGAGAGCGTTGGGAGCCTACTGCTAAGTCGAATCCCTCGCATCCGCGTCCCGCAGCCGCGCAAAATTGGTGGAACGCGCGCGCCTGGGCTCTTAGCTAGTACCTGTGTTGTAAATATAACAGACCACTTGGTATTTATGTACTACTAACTGCCTGTTGGCAGCTTACAAATATTACGCGGTCATTCCGCGGTGGCTGATGGATTGCAGCTCGAATATTCACTTAAAACTCTCGAGTCGGATCTTAAAAGCCTTATTCTCAGGGACCTTCTCAAAGACCGCGCAATGATTCCCTAGGAAATTAAACAACGTAAAGGAAATTTATGGTAGCACAAAAGATTCTCATTTCACGGTGAAAACACAAAGGCTTGTGCTGAAGACGCACTACGAAATTAGCGGTCGCTGAGGCCTTCAGTCATCAAAAGGGAGCACAAACAATGCAGAAATAGTAAATTGGACAAACTTTTCAGCTTCTTCTCAAAAGACTTAAGTTTGAGATTCTCTCGTTGAGTCGAACGACGTGCACGTTCCGCCTCCAGTGCCGCCTCGGAGCCCCAAATCTCCAGTGATCGCGCAGCTACCTTAAAAATCAAATAAGCGGGGGGGGGGGGAAGAAATGCTTTCAGTGTCACAAATCCCGCAACAAAAAGAGGGGCTTCAGAGGAGTCCACTGTGTGGGAGGTACGACTAAATCCCGTCCGTCAAACGCGGAGCTTAAAATGTCCGATCAAAAGCGAAGCGAAAATGTAACCCTAAATCGGACTGGAACGAGGGAGATATTGTGGAGGACAGGCACTTAGTCCAATGGTGGCTACTTATAAGAGGGCAGTAGCGATGGTTGCAGTAGAGACGACACAACAATTGACCGTCAAGCCGGTTGCACTGCTGTTTCGTTCAGCCAGAAAATGGACGACACTGACGTATCACATGCATCAGAACGGAGGCTCACGCCTCGTTGGTCACAGCGGTCGATCTGATCAATGGTCGCAAGAAGGCTTGGACAGACTAGTGGTGCGTGCGAGAAGGAATAAAACGCGGCCGACATAAAACTACGTTTATTTATGGAAACTCAGCAAACTAGCCATTGTAATCAGTCTGACGTGCTTGAAAACATCGTCGCGATCTAAAAAGTAGTGACCTGGGAGGATGCCAGCTGTCGGCGCAACCTAGACCTTTACAGGCATACATTTCATTTCCTGATTTCGTCCCTATGTAACACATCCCTGACGTTTAATGAAATTTTCCCTCTCAAACTACGCAAATGACTGCAGTTTATGCTGATCCAATATTATTGCACTTAAAATTTCATATTTATATTGAAAATACCGCCTGCCGCACCTTTCGCAGCCCCGCCCTATAAAAACGTTTTCCGTAAACCAATATGTTACTGACACAATTTTAGTAAGATGTGAATTCAACATTTACATTGTATGTACCGTTTTCAATAGGGTCATCAGGGGCGTTGCCTATTACCTAAAATATATATAAAAAAGGAACAATGGTCAAACTACAAGTGCTCGTTTTAAATGCGGCCTTTACGGAATATCTCATACACGCGTGCAAGATCCTAGCCCATGTATGATAGGCGTTAGACAGCGGCTCATGCTAAATCAGTCACCGCGTCGATATCGCCGACTATCTTCTCGACTCGGACTGGCCTCTAGCACACTGGGCGGGGAAAAGTGAGCTACGTTGAGCAAGCTTCGTTCCCGCGCTTACTTTTCTCAGTATACGCAAACAAACAAGCTTTTAGCTTGTAACGACATGCCAACAGTCCCAGCTTGGACGGTCAACAACCGACAGGATAACTAGGTCCCACTAGGATCAGGTCGCGATGGATTCGTGATATGACCCTTACCATAGGCGAGGAGGGAGCTATAAGCAGACGTTGCACAAGTCTGTCTCATGAGCAGATTCACTTGATTACTCTGGTGAATCTCATCTTAGGAACGAACGTTTTCTGTGAGCGACAACTGTTTAGAAATCAAAAAGCCAAAAAGGTGCTGACAGAGGTAAGTACCTGAGCCTCCAGGTAGAGCCGCATGTCCCCCCAGGTTGCATTGTGTGGGTTTCGCTTGAAAATACACCGAAGAACAGGAGTCCTCACATCCAAGTCTACATCGTTTAGCAGGTAGCGCTCTTTGGCAGAAGTGCGCGTGATCAATGAGTGGATACCATGAACATCTCTGCAAAAAAGGATGATTCAAAGTTTACCTGCGGCCAGACACGGGTGTGATCAGAGGGGCCGGATAACATAAAACGCGGGTAGAATGATGCAGTACTGTTTCGGACTTGTTATGCCTTCATTCGGCCAATCACAACCCAAACCACCAGCTCGGACCGGAAACACAAACATGCGCATATACACAGCTGGTCCACCACTGGGGTCTACCAGATGGCTCAAAAGCATTTCATCGAACTAAGATTCATCAGTACCTCGCCACCTGTCATTATCTGTCGCTACAGATCGGGTGCACGCGGATTTACTGGCTCCTCAAATCCAACAAGTTTCGTATGGGTGGCAAAGGTCACGAACAGGCAACCAGCAGACACTCAGTGGCTAGTATTATGGGCAGAATGACATCACCAACAAAGACGCTGGAGACTGGGATGGTAACTTCTGGCTTGTTAGCCGCTATCAGGAAGCCACACTTAACCCCAAGGTTTGCAACCCCCGAGGTTCTAACCCGCGACCGGAGAGCATCCCCCCTCTGACGCCGTTAATACACGCAATCGCAACCAACAGAACAACAAGCCCGTGACTCAATGACAAGGGCATTAGACTTCTAACCAACAGGTGGCGAGTTAGAGCCTCGGGCTGCATACCTTGGGGTATAGCTGGTTGATGACGGCTAACAAGCCGGAAATGGCCATTCCAGTCTCCCTTGTCTTTGTGAGTAATGTTGGTAATATATCCAACTGCATAATCGATGGTGCGACTGAGCGCATGGGGTCTAGACTGAGACGTTAGGCACAATGAGGCGATCATATCGGTAAGCCGATCTGTTAATGTCCCGCCACCCTGGAAAATATTTCCGATCACAACCGACAGGACAACGGGACCCTAGATCTATGATAGAGCATTGGACTGCTTAAAGCTCAATGAACAGAGAACCTGGGATAGAATTCCGGGTCGTCCGGAGCTGAGGTTGGGTGTCGACGGTCACCCTTAAAACTTAAAATGCATTTCATAGGGAAAATCCTCAAAGTACCTTTGTGCACTTAGAGTATGGATAAGCGAGTCTTCAGATTTTGTGCTCGAAAAAGGGTATATTTCGGTTTTTGACAGTTTGTAATTATAAGATATTGAATAGCGTAAAATGGGTATTCAAGTATCATGTCTGTCCGTTCAATAAGTCTCCTTATGAAGCATACAAGAAAGTTCACATTCATTTCAGGATTTTATAGGCCTCATATAGTATCTGCTAAATGGTACAAACGAATGCATGATTTTCCATTCATGGAAAGTAAACAGCATATAGTTCGGGAACCCTAGACGTAAATGCAACAGCATGTCCGGCACAAAATTATAAGGGAATCGAAAAAAAAACTGTTTAAAACATAAACATACCCTTCGCCAAAGTATAAAATTTGAAGAAGACGTGATTTGCTTCAAACTGAGTACCAGGAAGAACATTTTTGTCCACTTCTTAAACAAAATATATGTGTTTACTAGGGCATCAGAATCGATGGAAAAAATCCTACTAATTGGGTACGGCTTTCGCAGGCGGCATCCTGAAGTGGCGGAAATGTCTTGGGACTATGCTGCGCAGTGATCATTATGGCAACTCCACTTAAGTAATACTTCCTAATTGAGAACAAATTTGAGAATTTCGGCTACCATTTCGTGTAACTGGTCACTAACCCTACCTTCCGAAATACTTGTAGGCTAATAAGTAATACTTTCCGTAAACGTCCGCCTCTGACTTCCCATTCGGGAAAGAACGATAGGAAACTGTGGCTATTCTTTCAAAAATTTTGGATGGATTCTTTCCTTTCTTCTTTTTTAAATCGGGTTGTAATCCTCTTTATCAGGTGGCAGAAGTATGCATACACTGTCGAAAAATTCTTCGGGAGCATAACCTCTCTAGATCGCATTACGTCATAGAATACCATTTTATGGTAAAAAGTGTCCGGAATAAACCGAGTTTACGAAGAAGCTTGTTGTGGGGGTGAGTTTCGTGGGCAGAGGAACATTCAAGGCGGCAGGAATTACCGCGTGCAGGATTATAAAGAGAGTGAGAAATGTGAAACATCGACCGTACCAATATCAAAGTAACTTAAACTAAGTTTGAGCGCAGCGTCTGACGTGGCGTAAAGACTCCGTCTACATGTGCCATAACACGACTGGAGAGAGTATACTGAGCAGGATGGACCCAAAACTTTGGTTCGACCGCTGCAAAAAGTCGTGGTGGTGGTGGTGGTGGTGGTGGTGGTGGTGGTGGTGGTGGTGGACAAAAATCTTTGCCTCAGTTCACTCACCTGCATGCATCACAGACTTCGCAGTCAAAGTTATTTAACAGGAAGGACTCTGCGAAGGATCTACCACACTCGTCACAGACAGATTGACTCTCATCTGGTGGGACGGGTACAACAGATGCGGCGGTAGCCGTAGCCGCATCGTCCACTGTTCTCGTCCCCACGGCCGTCTCCTGCGTTGCTACCAAAGTCCGCTTTTGCTGGCGACGACGACGACGCCGCTTTCTACCACCTCCGCCAACTTCTACGTCACTCCCGATATCATCCTCTTCCTCCTCGGATTTCTCATAGAGGTCAGGAACCACAGGCTGGGTGCTCCATTCGGGCTCCAGAAAAAAACCGGCGCCAGAATCTACTGCTTGCGAGAGAGCGAAGTTTTTCTTTGAGCTAGTGTACACGTCCTGCCTGTGAAAAGCGGAGGATGAATGGGCAGAATGTTAGGCGAAGAGGAGGGTTGCACGAAGCCGTCTAGATCAGCAAATAACATATGTGCGTTGTGGGTGCTTCCTAAATGTCCAATGATTGGACAACTAATGTGCCAGCAACGCGACCAATCAAGTGACGAGTATCCAAACAAGAGAGTGCAGATAAAGCGCTGGTGCCAAGCATAGATTTAATATTTTAATGGCTATAAAGGCGCAGTTTTGAGAACGCAGCATGTAAAAACGGTCGAATTTTCTATAAAATATTTCAGCTAAACTCCGAAAGGCTAAAGGGTAGAACCACGGCGCCGAGTGCGAATAGTACGGAAAACGAGAACTAGGGCTCTACGTAATGGCATATTTTCAGAATATGGAGGACATAAACATTATCAAAACACACAGGTACAGACAAAGGATTTATACAAATAATGGATAACGGAAGTTTTATTATAGCATTCGGGTCTAATGACGGATGGGGATACAGTTTTAGGTGTTTTGCGAAAATCATAGGGTGCAATTCCACAAAACTAGCGATCCTGTAGAAGACATTTAAAATCGCAATGTAACAGTTTGAAAAAACGAAAATAGGCAGGCTTCGGAGGCCAAAACGAGAGAGATCTGGAATATAATTCTCAGATATGATGTAGAAGAGAACTGCTTACTTAGGTGGGGTTGCAATACCGATTAGCACGAAAAATTACCACAGGCGACAAGAAAAGGCCGATATTCAAAATACGCGGATTGTCAAAATAAGGGGAGGCGGTCACATTTATTCAGCATGCTATCTGCGAATCGTATTCTCATCACTATAAGCGTGTATTTTTCCTCCTTAATTGCGAAGTTCACATACATTCAGTCGTAAACCTCAAGAGGGATATTCAAAAATTACTACTAGATGCAGTTTAGTAGGGGGTTATAATCTGCTTAAAATTTTTAAATGGAGAAATTATATCAACGGTGGGTAAAATTGCAACGTCGAGAGCTTCCAAGACATAGTATTCAAAATCTTCTGGTTCCTAATGTTACGTACAAAATTCAAAAAGGCGAAGGGACGCACACCGACCGCGTTACAGGACTCACTCGTCCCGTTGTACCTTGAGTCTCGCCAGCAGCCACTCACCGGCTAGTATTAAAGACAGAATAACATTACTGACAAAGACAACGGAGACGGAATGGTCATTTCTGACTTGTTAGTCGTCATCAGCCAGGCATACCCAACAGCGAGGTGCGCAATTCACGAGACTCGAACCCAGGACCTGTTGGTTAGAAGGTAAAGGCACAAACCATTGCGCCACGGGCTCAATGTCCTGTTGCAAAGCGATTCACAACTATTGCCTGCCAACGTCTGCCCTGTCGTCCCAACTAGTCTAACGTGGCTGTTTCACGTTCTCTTTTGTTTTCATTTCGTCTGACGACGGGTTGGTGTCACCAACTTGAATACTCACGAATGCAACTCGATTTTTCCGAAAAGCCTCTGCATTTTTCATCATATCTCCCCGGAGTGCATACCACCACTAGTCTACGATACATATATATATATATATATATATATATATATATATATTCAAACCTGCTGGAGAGAAAAAATTAAGTACCGTATCTCTGAACGCCCGCCGTCTGCTATGTAAATGGATGGAAACAAAACACACTACTTATCTCCCGCAATAGTATGTTTTGTTCAGATATATCTCACGCACAGCCACGCGATCAAGGGTCAAGCGTGGACGTTGATATTTCGCGGGCCAGAAATACGCAGCAAAAAAGAACCAAACAACGGCGACTCTTAGAATACCAAATGTGCGAGACCAGAACAGACTGGAATACGTTTATGACAGATGGGCGCTCACTGATCAGGTTACAGAACGTGCTCATTTCGTTGTGCATTGGGGCTCATACTAGAACCTTCGCAGGCAGTCGCACAGCGACTAGTAGTAGATGTAGATGAGATGGCACCAACAAAGACAAGGGAGACCGGGACGGCCATTTCTGGCTTATTAGCCGTCATCAACCAGTCATACCCAACCCCAAGGGTGAATCACTGAAGACTAGAATATAAGATTATGAACTCAGAGCATCGATATCCCAAAAGTCCGTTATTGCGTCAACGTAGGTGTTCAGACAAACTAGCATTGGTACTGATGCGGCTTATTTGCCACCAAGAAGATTATGACTTAATGGAAAAGGGGGAATCAGAGGACAGTCGATGCCAGTACGTCAAAACTTCTGAACAAGCACAACATCCCTTAATCCTCTAAAGGCTGTCTCTCTGTTCAGAGTAAACGTGTGGACTACACTGGTGATATTACCGTATAAAAGACCTATTCACACATGTGTTGAGTTTTCATTCTACGAGTATCGGCTGGGGGATATTGAATGGAAGAATGATTCCAGAGAATGAACTTTGAACGGCAACGTTAAACAGGCAGCTCACCGGTCGTTGGCGACAACTTTGGCACGCTGTAGGGCCAGAGCTCGCTGCCGTTTTCCCTCAACTATCACCCTTTCAGCTTCTGTTAGACCGCCACTGTCGCCTGCCTTCTGTGTTTCCATCAGGGTAAGCCAAGCTGGAGGAGAGAAAAGAAAGGCACTTATCTAGAAGGCTGTCATAAAAGATACAATCTGGGCAGGGGTGCAGGTAGCAGAGGGATGAAGCCACACCTGGACCGGCCATGAAACCGGAGTACAGAACACCAGAGATCGAAAGGTTTGAACGGAGTGAGGGAAGAGGTAGCATGTTGCTCCAGCCAAAGCAAAACTGACGTTTCGAAAAGAAGGTCCCCGAAACGCTTACATCGTGTTTCGCCTGGCTTGGGACACCGATGAAGGTCGATTGCGCGCCAGGCACTTAAAGCATCCGGACAATAGGTGGCGTATTTTGGGAAACATTAGGCAAATCCGTGAATTGAGGTTCCAACTCGAAAGGGTTACTTAAGCAGGCTTGTAATATTGAGCACGATGCAACACTATCCCAAGACATTTCAGTCACACCTAGAAGCCGCCTTTTGAATGCACGTCTTTCCGGTCGCCTGCAAAAATCGTACCTGAATGCATGCGCGAAATATCCCTTCTGCATTGATTTTGCCCCGAATCACATCCATTTCGCCCTCTGTAATCGAAGATATGGAATCATTCGGTCTAAAAGTTCGTACTTATGAGACGCTGTAAGGCCATAAAATGCCTGTCCAAACAGGATCGTTTCTGTCTGTTTAATAATGCTCGTAGTCCATGTTCATTGCCCAATTTCATAAGCCATGTACGGCATTTTCTTTACAGCATAGCGGTATGCATGGTTTTCCCTACATAAAAATGTACTCATAGTAGTTTGTGAATTCTGAACGCAAGAAAACGGCGGGTTTGGTTCAAAATAAACCGGTGGTGCAAAATATTGTTTGGAAGAACTGGAATATAAGATTGCAAGAAAACGTCCTTTACTATAAAAGGGGCCCAGGGAAGGATATTTTTGTGCACGCTTTCTATGAAATATATTTGGATATACAGGGGTATTTAAAATCAATGGATAAAATTCATGTTATATACGCAGTCATTTTCACTTAATGGGGTTTTCGTCAGGCAGCCGAAAAGGTAAGCATTCAAATGGCAGCAGTCTGGTGTGACTGAAATGTCTTACAATTATTCATATCGACCCAACTGTGAAAAACTCAGCGCCTCGGTGGGATTCGAACCCACACAGTAAGGGGAAGGCTTTAGTACAGCCAACGCTCAAAGCACTTGAGCTACGAGGCCCCGCCGGACGACGCGAGTTTAATCATATTTGGGTTAATTCACCCGCCCAACTTACTGCAACGTCTGGAACCCACCAAATCTGATAAATTAAGTTGACTGCCCAGGCAGGATTTCCTACGGAATTCACCTAGAATCCACCAGATGACTACCAGGCTCACGTAGCTCAGGTGGTTAGAGCGTTGACTGCAGTAAAACCTTCCGCTTACTGCGTGGGTTCGAATGCCATCGAGGCGCCGAGTTTTTCACAATTGGGTCAATATGAATTATTCAAAATCTACCAAAAACATCGTACAATTATGCTGTCTCATACACAGCATTAAAACCGCACAAGTAATTTTTACCAACCAAAATAACATTTCAGTATTTCGGTTAACGTTTCATGCGGTACGCCACCTACTGCCTGTGCATGGACTGCCAACTGCGTGAGTATACGCTCCAGCAAAACGGGCCACGCTACAATTGCCTTAGACAAAAACCGACTCACATCGGCTCATGACACGTGTACATACTGTCGGCAGAGCAATGCAAGTACCGAGAGGACGTTACTGTGAAGGTGGTGGAATGAATAAATAACCCTTCTGTGGTAAGGAATAAGACTTCCAAGAAACCAGTCATTCAAGGCTTTTATAACCGGAGCGACGGATAACGGGGAATATAGCAAAGACAGGCGACCGAATGACTATGAAGCTCGGCCGTTGCCCAGCAGAGAAATTCACGCACAGGACGACACGGGGATTCGCACTCTAGACATGGTTCTTCAGACGCACTCAGCATGACGGACTGGTAGGCAACTGCGTCCGCACGTGAGGGTGGTCCGATAGACGTTGCTGCTGTTGATGGACAGGAAAGCGCCCTCTAAGACGCCAAAATCATTTGCCAAGTAGAGCAAGGACGTCCGGATCATGGTGAACTGAACGCCTGGAAGTTAAGTAAAGCCACGGATCACCGAACAGGTGTTTCGCACGGGTAGTCTGGAAGGGGCATGCTATTGGATTCTGAGGGGCCGTCTCCGTCTACCCCCTTCAGGTCTCCCCGAGTGGCGGATGGAGCATAATTAGATGACAGGCAGCATTCGTCGTGTCGACGTACAGCTATGGGTTGTTCTTCTTTCATGAGCAAACAATCTACGAGGTCTGTGCCCAGCCAAGTCTGAATGCATTACTACTGCACGGTCCCTGACTGCTCGTTTGACAGTCCACTCATGTCGCAGCTAGGTAATCATCTTCGTCCTATGGTTCTTGCCATCGCGAAAACGAATGGGGGCAGTCAGGGATGCGCATTTGTCCCCAACCCCCGTAAAAATCCTGCTTTATAAAGCACTGGCAGACGCATTCTGAAACACACTACCACCTGCTTTAGTAACTTTAGGGCAGCAAGCCCTCTTGCAGACCTTCGCCAATGTCTCCAAGGGGCACGGCAGGTGGTATCACAGTTGTTGATGACTTCTCACTCAATGAGGACGATGCAACTGTTACGAGTCACGACGCCCACCAGGTCCGCCTCAGTGTGCGGACGATGCATCGGCAACTTACGCGTGAATCAGCCTATAGTTGGGCAGACTTGGGCAGTACCTATCGCACCTCTATTTCCTCCACCCACTTTGCTCCGATGGCAATACAATGTCATGACGACTGGAAATGACCGTGGGAGCGATGACAGACAATATAAGGTGGTCCGTCAACGCGTGCCCCCGCAAGACGCCCTGGTCATATAATCTGCCGGGCCTTCAGTAGGAGCGGCTCAACTATCATCTCAGTGAGAATGCAACAAAGGCCGCGATGAGAGGGAGCCATTACAGCCTGACTCAGTCCTGAGAGGGAACCAGTTACTCCGGCTGCCGGCAACCTTCCAGGCCACGACATTTAGTGTGTCGTGGTGGATTAGATAGCGTCAGATTTGGAAAGTCGAGTTGGCAAGCAGGTGTTTTCGGTAGTTCGTCATCAGGCCCATACAGTCACATAGAATATTAGAACGTAAGGCGTGGACAGGGTTTATACGTGTCTTACGGGTTAGTGATACTCATCGCTTCCACACCGCCCGTAATACGAGGTCGGAGTGTTGCGGTCATTGGGGCATGAGGGGTGGCATAGGCTGTGAGCGACGTTTGTAAGTCGGGTACGTGGAGCCCAGATCACTGTCACCAGGCAGCTAGGATGGCGTGTGACCACCATCTGGGGTCGGTGTTGACCATGGGAGACAGAGCGCCTGTGTCGACGTCTTTTCACAATATAACGCTGAATTTGCTAGCCGAACAGCCACCACTTCGACTGTTGCTAAAACCCCTAGGCATAGGCTTTTGGGGAAGTTCGGTGGACAACCTGAAAAGTTTATTCGGCATCGACTCAGTGATTCGCATCGACTAGATGCGCAAGAATAGAATTCGCAACTGACCTGATCTCATTTTTACCTAGTCCGGCAGGTTTGTGTTCACGTACCCTCTTTTGCAGGCGCCTCGTTGTACGGCCAATCTATCTCTCTGCACAGGTGCAAGTGAAGGAGTAACTATGCATCGATATGGCCTGCAAGGTAGTCGGTCTTTACCTCCCAGGCGCAGTGGCTGACGCCGGGTAGTTATGGCCTTGCGCGGACTTTCTAGTAAGAGGAATAGGAAAGTGATTGTACATTACGCCCGCGACAACTGCGCAGTATATTGTGTCGACAATCATCGTCAACGATGGTAGTCGCTCCGACAAATGATCGTATCCAGACAGCCGAACACGCGCTGCCAAGCAGTGCAAGTGTCCCTTAAGTCTCGATCACCACCACTGCCAGAACGGACTACATGCCGACTTTACGAAGAGAGGCGCAAGAAAGCGTATAGAGAAGGCCTTTAAAGTGGGTCACGGGAATGCTGTTGCAAATAGAGTATGACTAACCGACGACTCGAAACAGCTCAAAAGTAGCCGTCATCGGAAACAGTCGTACCATCGTGCATCCATCGCTCTTATACGCAATCATCTCTGGGGATGGGTTCGAGCGGTGATTCAATGATCATAGTCAGACTACAGAACAAGCTTACCTAATTGCGCTCATCTGGGCTCCACTCTGCAATAACTAATCCGGCTCAGGTGAACACGCCATAAAACGGTGCGGCGAAAGCCAACTAAGATAGCTGTTCGGAGAGGCCGCATCGCGGACTGGTCCTTCTTCGAGTCGCCGGAGTGCGTAACCGCACCATCTAAGGTGGCAACCCTTTACTGCCGCACCCGTAAGGACTGTTCCCTATCGGCGGTGGAGTTTGGTGTCCAGAACTTTGCCAGAACAGCAAAAGCCAGTTGTTAAGCACCTCAATCTTCTTTGTGGCATCGGCGTGTCGCGACCAAGTTTCAAAAGCACAGGGCAGCTTCGACAACCTGTGGAAAAACCACAAGTATTCGCATATATTGACGCTACGAAGTACAGCAACAGCACATCGTCTAGCGGAAATGACATCAGAATATTCAAATTTTGTCATCTTTAGGCCATCTATGATTTCCAGAGCAGGATTTGTGCTGACCATTCGGAAGCTTGAAAGGTCTTCAAGGGGCAAGTGATCCATACTGAGCTGCTTTTGATCGCAGATGCACCGTTGTGGGAAACTGATTTTGAGGTGAGCTCGCTATGGACGGAATTTTCAAGATGCTTACACTTCTCCACCCTAGCTCGACCAGCTTGTGAGAATGCCAGCCGGGTGCACGCATGGCACCTTACCACGTGAACAGGTAGACAATGGGGGCAAAAAGATTTGGGGATAGGCCAAAAAATTCGGAAACGGTCCAGAGAAGGCTAGGCATTATGGGAACACTCGCATCGAGGCCGCAAGCACGGCTATCTGCTGCAAAGACAGGGTCGGACAACTTTGAAACTAGGATGGGAGAGAGGGCACGAAGAGAATACCATGATGCAAAGGACAGGTCTACAGTCCGGCCTTCGCATCTAAAATCGGATAAAAAGAACATGCGTCGCAGAGCGCAAACGCCTCCGAGGCGCCAAATGCGTTCACCGCAGACGGCGAGGAACGAACTGTCACAGCAGTTATGAGCCTCAACTTTGAATCCCACCCCGCGAACGGAGTAACAGGTCAGGTTATGTGAAACGAGGAAGAACGTAGATTGATATTCAAAGCAGACAAGAGTGACCTAGTAGTTAGGGAGCCTGTGTAGACAGTCAAGGGGACATGATTCAGTTTCTGACTCTTGCCCTACATTGCAGATCACTGATTCAGTTGTTATTTAGTTTGGCGGACAATTGTTTCTTGCAGCGCCGGCAGTCATAGGAAAGTGCAACAACCACAGCCCCCTAAGAAAGCATAAAGTTATGAACCTTTGGACAGCAGTTGCACTGAGCGGTTGGAAGGTGCAGTCTATGGTAATTACCAGATTTCGAGATAGAAGTGTCCACCTACTCTCTCCCCCTCCCCCGGAACACCACTTCCAGTTTTGTCTACTGTGCCGGACGGTGGGTGACGCACTAGTCAATGAGAGACAACATTCGCCATGCCAATGGAAGCGAAAAGGCGACTTCCAGGAAATCCTGCCTGGGCAGTCAACTTACTGTATCAGATTTGGTGGATTCCAGACGTTGCGGTAGGTTGGGCGGACAACTTGACCCAAATGTGATTAAACTAGCGCCGTCCGGCGGGGCCTCGTAGCTCAAGTGGTTGGAGCGTTGGCTGTACTAAAGCCTTCCCCTTACTGCGTGGGTTCGAATCCCACCGAGGCGCCGAGTTTTCCACAGTTGCGTCAATATGAATTATTCAAAACCTGCCAAAACATCTATGAAATCCAGGACGCAGTTGAAGAAACGCGAACAATGGGGGATCCTTTCCGTCTGACGTTTAGGCGTCTCACCGGAAGTCATCGTCAGAGACAGTTGTACCCTTGTGCATCCACCACCCTTATCTGCTACCGTCCCTGAGGATGGGCTCGAGAGGAGATTCCAAGATACGTAAAACAAATAGAACTTTTGTTCCAGAGATCGCATCTCCTTCTTAATTCGTCGGGCTGTCATACTGCTGCGGTTTGTCACTCTTTTGCAGGGAACCAGAGATCTCTCATAAAGGTGCCCAATCAGGCCTTAGTGCATGGTCTGTGACTGCTCGCCTGACGCCTGCTCATTTCGCAGACAACCTTCGCTGAGGGTCCCCCCACCGCTCGAGGACGCGCCGTTTTGCTTGCGGCTGGATTACCAAACATGCCTACTTTTCCGGACCTCCTGTCTCCCAGGTACGTCACCGATGGTTGATCGCATGCATGTCATTCTTAGTTTATGTCCTAACAGGAATGGCCTAGCGTGCAAAAGTGAGGCAATATCAACTACGGGTGACACTCGAGGGGAAGCATACGCATATTAAAAGTGCAACCTGGTCAAAACTTCAGACGCTCGTGATGACAAACAGCCCGTCGAAGAAAAGGGAGACGTTGATAAACAGAACGATTCATTTTTGCTGCAAAATGGATGCTAAAAAATAATCTGACAGAGATGGGAGGGGGGGGGGATTTGTTAGAAGTCGGTGGCAACAAACTTTCGGCCCCCATGTTCATCAAGTTCCAATGTATTCGTACTAAAGGAACGTCGCCGTCTGCCCGTGAGCTCCCGTTGGCAACTCGGCCCCGCATCTTTAATGCCCTGTAGGACTAACATCTGACGCTCAGCATCCGCCTTAGAATTTGCCAGTTCGAGGAATTTCTTCTCATTGGCCAGATACGCTTGCAGCAGGGCGTCCAATTCAGAGATCCGCTGCTCCACCTCCTCCTTCTCTCTCAGTAGGTCATTACTGCAAAGAAGATGAAATGGTAAAAGAGGGGAGAAAATGACGGCCGGATAGATTGTTTCAGTGCGCGTTACTGCGATGTATGAGCAAATGTAAATCAAACAGGCGGGAGGACGATGCCGCCGCGAGTCCAATGTCAAAAAGCAGCTACACGCAGCTCATGGCCCTGGGGACTTGAAGTCATTTAAGGTTGAAGTCAGTAATATAATCTGAAAAGTTTAACGGCCAGTGGCTAGGCGGCGTCGACTCAACGCAAAACTGGTAAAGTCATGCAGGACGTGGCTGCGAACACAACGGGGTAGTTCAGAAGTTGATACACGAACGGGAAGACTTATACAGACCTGGTGTCACAAGTACGTTCGACCGAGGATCTCGAGGGACACATCCATTTCATCGGCTAGTCGGCAACGTACGTGAATGTTTGGGAAAACGCTTTGTGACATAATTCTGGAAGGCTGGCGCATTAATGACCCAACTCTTGCTTTTTGTCATGCTCAATCATGTCGCAGTAGTTTTCTTTAAGCTCAGATAATAGTCCCGACCGGGCGGTAGCATTCATGCACGAGTTAGACACTACGTATTCGTAGTCAGCCTGAGGATATGTCGAGAAATGTGCATGTCAGCCGAAAGATTACTCTGATCAGAGATCTGTAGTACATAAGGGCTAATGCTTGGTAGACACCGGTAGCGTTCCCAGACTTTAATTTCTTACCAAGTACTGCAAGTATCTCTTAAGGCTGGGTCACAACTACTGTCAGAACGGAATACACGCCGACTTTATGAACAGCACCAAGGAGCGCAAGTAAGTGCAGAGAGAAAGAGAGATATAAAGGCTGACGACTAGTGAGGGCCTGGATTAAGTACACACAATGTACGTAACCGTTGTTGCGTTAATCTCCCCCACCCCACCCCCGTCACCGACAGGCATAAAGGTTTATGAAAAGCGGAAATTTAAAACACGCGAAGCTCCTCCAGGCACTTTCAGAGCATAAAAATGAGTTCTGTTGTGGGGAAATACTGCTCACGAGCCTGTAGTTCAAACTCTAGTTGAAGTGATGCACGACGAATAATAAAACAAAAATGCAATGCACTAGCTGACATCCGAACGAAAGAGAAGGGAGACTTGACTGACATTTGTCGACTCATTTGTCATTCATAGCCAGCCAAAATAGTGCAGAATGGCGAGACTTCGTAGACGAGGGCGTCCCAAAAGGACTAAACGCTCGTAATCCGGGTTAGATCGCAAATGAAGCGCCAACGCAACTTCCGACGGTACCGGTCGTGAGAACTTGACTCAAAGGGTAGAGGACCAAGCGTTGTGGTTGACTAGACCTGGGCTCATACCTGAGGTCTTTCTGACCGCGGTTCGAAAGAGGAGTGATTTATCGTTGCAAATAAGCCAGAAATGATCATATGTCTTCGTTTTCGCCGTTGGTACTGCTTTGCTACTGTCGATGCAGTGATTTCGAGCGCAAAACTAAACGTGATGCAAGTTTTGCACCAACAAAACGTATTTGGGAGATTCAAACTTACTAGGCAGTTTGCAAGTCAACAGCCCTTTTAGATGGCTGCAGGAGCAACTGGTGTATTTGTGCCTCCAAACGATCTGCCCGAGAGGCCAAATTTTGAACCTCCTTTCCGAGCGTTTTGCCTAAGGCCAGGAGGAGAGATTTTTGATAGGCGTCCCGGCGCCCCATCACGTCCTTCTGCAGCGCACAAGTGTCCTGTAACACCTAAACAGGTAAAACCATTAAATGGGAAAAGGCACGCTGAAGCACGACAAATGTAGTATGAAACTGGGATAAATAAATTAATAGGACACAGCCTTATCAGGCAGAAAAATGGTCAAATACCCGGATAAGCCGGCCGATTTTTGTATCTAACCCTAGTTTTTAACCCGTTATCTTTGACGGCTAAAGAGCTTTTGAATCCTCTGTGCCTTCAATCAATTAGTATCCAGTGAAGCCGGAAGAATCCACTCCTTGTATGGGACGGTCGAGATCTCACACGTGTCAGGCCGACACTATCGAGATTGGCAATATCTCGCCGTATTTCTGTCTCCTTCAACTGAAAACACCCCTGACATGGAACGGGACAAAGAGACAAGTCGAATGATGGTCTTGTATTATGCCCACCGGTGATAGAGATGCTGACGAGGACCGTCACTTAGGCTCTGCGAAAACAAAGCACTTAAAGTTTACGTTATTAGTTAGGAATGTCGTCAAACCAGGCCTTAAATGTAGAGAAATGAAATAATCCCACGCGTGCCATTCTACCCAACAATTTGCACCACTAGACATTGGGCGAATTTGGGAAGTCCGGTGAAAGGAAGAGAACAAACGTTAGATAGAGCATGGCTTTGTGATGTGGTAGAAGTGAAGGCAGAAACACGTTTCATCTGCGCCATGAGCGAAACAAGTTAGTGGCATACTTAAATTTCGGTTATCTGGCCCGAAAAATTGATTCCATATATTCGTCTTGCAAGTTAACAGACTGCTGCCTTGAATCTACTGCTTCGACGCGCTTTCCAGAACACAAAAATGAGATTCACAAATCCAGATAGGTGCAATGTCCCTCTAGTCCATCTGTAAAGCCTAAAAGGCAAGCGAATGAGATCCCGGTGGGTATCTTGCGTTGCTCCAAAAGGCCATTATCTCAACTATTGCCCCACTAATGACGTCGATGGTGGCTAGCACTAGGTTTTAATCTAAACTCACAAGCGTAACTTTCAATTTCCTTTTGAAAAAAACTACCAAGCATCTAAGAGACGATGTTAACTATAAGTTGCATGAGCAAATAAACCTGAAAAAGCAATTTCCAATTGACGAAACTGCTATTACGACGACTGCCAATGTGAAACTTCGAGGATGGTATTCAAGTAAAAAACCAAATTCACCTGAGTAAGCTCAGCAATCTGTCGACACACGTGCTGCCAAAGTTGGCGGTTATGCTTGCTCTGAGCATCCAGATCGGAGTGAAGAAAGGCAGGTTCTTAGATGGTAATCGACGTGCGGGATGAAGTGGCCAAGTTACCCGTATTTTCATCCGTAATGCCGCAAACCGCCAGCTTTTCATCCAATTTTTCTTCAAAACGACTCCAAAACATCGCAGCCATTTCAGGTGTGAACTTGGGAAGGTGGTAGGATCCTTCGATTGACTGCTCACAGTTTGAGGGGAAGAAACACTCAGCCAAACTGTTGGTACACGTATTAAGTAGCTGTATGTGGGCCTCAAGGTTTGTTACATCATACCTCCTTCTCAGTTTCAGTTAGGCGACCGAGGAAGCTATCGTATTCCAAGTCCAGAATTACTTCCTCGAGTAGATCAATCTTCGCTTTTGACATCAGCCAATGCGTAACGGGGTCAGAATCCGCCCGAATCTGAAAAGATGAGAGACAAAGGACTATTTGAATATTTTTACAAAACATCAGAAGTTGACTGAGTAAGTTAATCGTGGTTAGGCGCGAAATAATACGCTGCATTTATAACCTGTGTTTTGGAAACAGAAAAACGATTGAGGATACGTGCGAGTTATGACAATTTATCCGCCCTACGTCATGATGGCCATTTCCAACAGACTGTGCTCGTGATTTAAAGGACGGGCAGAGAGGCTTAGTCGTCGGGTATTGGGTGGATGTGAAGGTCTTCGATGAGTCCTTTGCTAAGAATTTGGTCCAGGTATCGGTAATGCTGCCACTGTTGTTGCAACGCATGAAACAACCACCGTGGATCGAATATTCGGCATATTCGATTCGGCATATGCCACGCACAGGAGATAAAGGCCTAGTGGCGGCAGTCGACTCGTGGAAGTCACTGAGAACTATGAATGACATCGCTCGACAGCAGTAGCAAATGGGTCACCAGTTCTCATAGCCATAGCGCTCGCATACGCGAAACCGCTGCGAGCTAGCTTGATATTAAGGGATGTTATAAGGGGTTGACCACCAACAAAACAAACACGTCAAAACTAACAAAGCGGCAGATTGCCTTAAGAACACGGGCCATTTACTTCACATCGCACTCTCTTAAAATGGCCAAAAGTGTAGCCTAGAAACGCTTAGAGGAGATCGAAAGCCCAAGCCTTAATTCCAGCGGCAGTAGCAATATATGCAATAACGAAATTTTAAGTTTACTTTCTCTGACAGTGAAGTAAACGCCATGGTATTTCAGGAATTTGAGGAAAACCCCGACATACGCAGCGGGAGACTAGGCTACCTAAAAACAGAAACATCCAGATTTAAACCCAAATCATCAAGCCAAGTTGACAAGTTGATTTCGACAAACAATAAAATGCTGCAAAAAGTGCGCAATCAAAGTTCCGATAATTCGGTGAATGCTTGAACGCGAAGCCAACGGTCAACGCCATCACCGTGAGTCAGGGCGTACACTTAATGACAAGTAATATCTTCGTAGTGTATGCTGCTGAATTTCTACTGCAGTATTTTTAAAGAGTTCGGTGGTCTGACTTGTATAACATTTGCGTCTCCGTATTTTTACACAAAGTTATTATTCTGCTTAGTCTTTCTTATTTCGTTTAACCAAAGAGGGGAGGGACTACGCCAGACAGGAGAAAATCTGCCGTATTTTTGCGAATACGTCCTTCGCATATCCTTCTAACAGAACACTGACGGAGACCGTCAGTGATTTGACTCATTCCAGTCGGCTGTTTCATCTTCTAAATCATGTTGCGGCCAAGTTTACGCCATACGTTTGCCTCATTTATTCATCCATTCCCCAACCAATCGGGTTTTTCATCCTTGTCGTTAGTTTACCTATTTCACGACTACGCCTTGACCGTATTTCTCGTATGTGAAGGTGCCGTAGCATGAGCCACGGAAACCCCACGCACTACAGTCTGCAAACAATCAGCGCCACTCACGACAAGACCGCGGTTGCATCCCGAACAGTAACGTCGTACAGGCCCATTTGTTTCCAAAACAACTCCGTAAATGCGATTGCTATTTGGAATAAACTACCATGAGTGTGAAAACTCTGCAAAATTATCCTTTATTTAAGAGAAATATTACTCGATTTTTGCAGTCAGAAAAGCTCCCACAAATTTTGAGTGCTGAATCCACTGATCGACTCTACCGTAGCGATGGCGTTTGTGGTCTCTGAACACTATGGCCGGTCTCGCCAGCTGTTCCCAAACGCCTCTACTTTGACTATCCCCAACCTTATGAAAGGAATTGACGTCTAATAATCTCTGATACCGTGCAACCCTCCCCCCCCCCCTTCTTGACGGTCGAAAATCTACCACCAGCAGTTTTTTCTCCTGAACCCTCCAAATCATGAAAACCACCATCAACTATATTTTTATTCTTCAGGAGTTTTTTTTCACTGCTGGTCGGATTTGTGTTTAATCGCTTCCCTTGACAATGCCTGTAAACTGGCATTAAATAAATTATTATATTATAACTCCTTCATCATTGAACAAACACAGTTTTGTAACTATTCAACCACGCTGTGGAAACTTTTTCCATCGCCTAACAGTGGAAAGCCTTTTCTCAGCCCACGCCGCGTTTCCTATTCGCAGTTTTCCGTGTGCTACGATAGATAGATAGATAATTTTTATTAAAGACCCGTCGGGGTCCCATCAAAGCAAGTTAAAATAAATTTACATGCGAGTTTTAGATGTAGGCCGAATCTTTACAAAATGCAATTCATAGTTTCTGAATTAGTAGTCAGTTGAGAAACATGATGATTTAGGGGTAAAAAAACTCCTCACAAAAAGTTAAAATGATTGGATTAATTTTACAGGAGAAAAAAACCCCCCAATAAAAAATAATGACAGAAAAAAGCGATCAGGACTGGCCTGTAGGTGGCGGTATATAACGAAATGTAGTCGGTCATCGTCAGGGTAGCAATAAAACTCAGCCCTGAGGGGTACGAATGTGGGTCAGACAGGACTGGCTTGCATATGGCATTGTATACGGGATTCACAATTGAGATCGTCTGGGCCAGATTGATACACCGCGTCAAAGAGGCCAGACGAGAGGGGCCCAGATGCGATCGGCCACAGCACGCTTTGAGCTCAGCCGAGCAGTGGGGAAGGGAGGTACGACCGAACTACTAGTAGGCAGTGAATACTGAGGGTTCCGCCGTGAGCGTCGACAGACCGCATGAGGTCGGAATGCGGGAGATGACATCAAAAACCGCGAAAATTGTCGCTATGGGGGGAAGGATAGCGATGGATTTAGAAACCAATTCAAAACAAGACCAGCAAAGGCCAGCTTCGAGTCTTCTAACCCACAAAAACTTCATGTTCGCCAGCTGACATCTCTGGGTATAAGAAATACTGGACGAAACTTGAGAGAACAGTTTCCGGGTGAAAACTCCCTGAACATTTTCGATTTTATTACGGTCGCAGGCGCTCATTAAACCGAATAACGGACAGCAGTATTCGAGGACTGGAAGAAAAAACATTTGATAAAGTCTTAGCTTCATTTCCGGAAGGAAAAAATTATGCGATATGAATCCACATATCTGCGCGGCTTTGGCAGAGATTCTATCTGCATGAGGTGATAAAGCAAGCTTATTTGTAAAACTTAGACCTAGGTCCTTTATGGTGAGGCATTCTAAAAGTGGGTTATACTGAAAAATTATGGGACCAGGAAGTTTGGCAGGACCAAAAGACATGAAACTACACATGGATGATGAAAACTCCATCTGCCATGTCGAACCCCATCTGCTTAAGCGTACTAAATCGGCATTAATTTTTTCAACACAAACATTTGCGGTATCCTTAGAGTATGAGTAAACACACTTGAGGTCATCGGCATAAGTATAAGTTTGCGAATTTCCGAGTTCAGTCGAAATATCATTGATGTACAGAAGGAAGAGTAGCGGACCCAGGGCCGTGCCTTGATGTACGCCACTCGTGATCGAGTGGGATGTCGGGTATCTATTACAGACCATGACTTTCTGATATCGGTTGGAGAGATAGGACCTGATGAAGTCGAGTAGAGGCAGCCGGATGCTGAGAGCTTCCAATTTTACTAAAAGACGTCTATGGGGCACCTTGTCAAAGGCTTTGCTAAGATCAAAGTAAATAACTACCACCGACTGCCGCTCATTACGAAGAGAAGTGATTAGATTAAGAAAAGCCAAGTGACATGTTTCGCAGGATCGTTCAGGTAAAAATCCATGCTGACTAGAGCACAGAAGCCGATTAGCTAGACAGAAGTCAAGAATTTCATTGAAAGTAATCCTTTCAAGAAGTTTTGCTAGAGACGGCGTTTCGTGCACGTCCCGATAGTTATTAACATAGGACCGAGATCCTGACTTGAAGACGGGAATGATAATTGACGTTTTCCATGTTTCAGGAAAGAATACTTTTGAAATATAAACCGAGAATAAATGACTGAGCAATATGGGAAGGTCGGACGCTTGTTTAATAATCGAATTCGGAATCTCGTTCGTTCCTGTGCAGTGTGAGTATTTCAAACGGCTTATGTGTTTCTTAATGAGATATGAGGAGACATCAAATGTACTAAGTGTCCTGTCTGAAAGTGATCGAAATAAAGGGACCGGATCGGACTCGGTCGCAAGGTGTTTTGCAAAGGAAGCACTAAACAACTCCGCCTTGTCAGTGTCATCGGTGAGGAAGACTTTGTTATCATTTAGCAGGGGTGGAAGTTCGTGACCACGCTCAGAGGAGGACCGATGACGGAAGATGTTAGCGACGGATTTGCCAGGGTTCGAACCACTGAGAGCAATTGATTCTCTTTGCCTGTCGCGCGCTTGGCGCATCCTTGAGGCCATCTCAAATATCTCTGTGATTCTAAGATGAACAGATAAGGAACTAGTGGATGGGTCACGCAGTTGTCGCCTCAACTTTTTTAGTCTGTTCTGAAGAAAATGAGGAACAAGAGAATCTGAAGAATTAGGCTTGAGATATCTACGCGGCACAAACTCTAGAATGTCCTTGGAAACATTGGACATGACATCACGAAGAATGGTTACATCGCTACAAGTGAGGAAGCCACACCAATCCAAAGATCTCATATAGTTATTTATTAAGTCGCTATCTACGCAGTCGTATTTCATGTAAGTCCGAACGGCGCTTGTCTTTTTTGAAAAGGCAAGCGGTAAGCAACAATGAATTAATACGTGGTCACTGTCAAAGAGGTCCTTTTTTAAAGCAACAGAAAGAGGAGCAATGTCATTGGTAAAGATTAGATCTAAAATGTGATTATCTCTTGTTGGAGAACGCACCAGTTGGGACCAATTAGAAAAATTGATAATATCTTGAAAGGGCTGGAATCTGGGTGGGCAGCTATCGGAAACCCAGTCAATTTCAGGAAGGTTAAAATCCCCAGTGATTATTTTAACATCGAAAGAAGCTTCCGAAATTAATTTAAAGATTTCACAGAGTTGTGAATCATCACTGGCTAAAGAATTTGGGGGATTGTAGATACAGCCAATAATTGCCTTTCTTTGCGGCGAGAGAATAACAGATGCAAAGCAGAAGTTTCCCGTGAATGAGGAAACATCCAAGTAATAGGGAGAGTGCTTTAGGTAGGATTTAAGATAAAGAAGACAACCACCCCCACGCCTAGTCGTGCGGTCTTGGCGGTAAAAATCGAAGTCATCTATGAGAAGGGCAGAGTCAGGAATTAGATAATCTGTCCAAGATTCTGTTACACATATAATATCAGGCGTCATTTCGAGAGCAATGGCTCTGATTTTGGCCATCTTGTTTATAACAGACCTGGCATTCAATAATATAATATCTAATGTGTTTCGAACGGCAATGCTATTTTCGACGGTATGATTAACATCTCCACGCATGACACTACTGAAGCCTACCATGCCACAATGAACAGACAGATGCAGAACTGGGTGTTTTACTGATTATTTACGTTAACTAGAATGTAGACAGTTTCATCGGAAAAATTTACATAACAATAACAACAGTCCTCAGTCTTTGTTTGGGCACCAGTTTCCGTATATAGCAGACTGAAGGTAAGGAAAGTAAATGCTGCATACTGGCTTACCGAGCAACCGAAAAGCGATCTTCGGTTGGTTCACTGCCGACGACGTAATAGTCTACCTGGGGAAGTTTGCTAAACTTCCGATATCCTCCGTCTGTCAGTGGCTTTCTGACAAGGAGATAATGACGTATGTGCGAAAATGTTCTGCTACTGACATTTTACGA